CGCTCTAACATTCCTCTTTCTCTCTCTTTCCCTAATCTTGGTTGCGCATTGTTACGAATTGAAAGTTGCTCTACTTTATTATTTTTTGCATATAATTCTTTAAGGGTTTATAAATCATTTTGTATTTGTTTTATAACTTTTAATTTCGATATGGACCATAAACGTAAAAAATATGCTTGTACCAGAAAACGAAAATTGAAATCAAACGTTGAAGCAATGAACAGAAATAGAATTCAAAGGTAAGTTTTTTTTGTGTTTCATAGTAAAATAGTTAACAACGTGCATATGTGTGAGCACTTGGTTAAATATTAGGTATATAATTAGGTAGGTACTTTTAAGAATAGTTTATAAATGAGTTGCATATTTGTAATGCATATAGGTAAATGCTATACAAAGTTACATTATACTTTAATGAGAAACTATAAATATGTGTGATAGTGGACTGTTTGTACTTATATAGAAATTATTTTGAGTTTTTTTTTAATCTATTTTAGTATTTAGAACTACTTGACGTACTTGACGGATTTTCGATAGTGTCATCGACTTATTACGAAACCCTCAGTGCACGACTCATTCTAGCACTTGCCAGATTCATTTGAATAATCAATAATACGAGTACATGTTATACAGGTTCTAGATGATTATCTTTTAGAAACCTTTTCAACAAAACAACAAAAATTATACAAACTTAAAATATTTTTTTTTGTGTAACGAATTTTGTAATAAAAGCATGGAACAAAAATAGATACGAGGTAGAAAATCTGTATGTGAAAATTTGTTAGCTAATTATCAATAATCCTGTATATTAGATAAATTGATACTGGAAAATCTTAGTAGAGCAACTTTCCACGCTACGGCCAGAAAGATAACTGCGGTGGCGGTACATGAAGTGGCGGGGCAGGGAGGGTGTAGATGTGTCACCAGAACGCAATTTTTCTGTTTTGCTCTGAAAGACTGGGCTCTTAAGTAATATCTCTTAATGAATTCATATAGGGAATTTTAAGATATAAATTATGCTACCGGATTTGTTCCCCGGTTGAAATCATCTTTCCAATGATGTAAATTCAAAGGAATATTAAAGTGAAGTTAGAGATCGGATTTGTTCCCCGGTCGAGATGATCACTCTGTGCATAAATAGAATTAACGGAAATTAATCGCATAAGTATTGTCTTATATAAGTTTGATATGTTTTGTACGAAAACAAATGCATATTTGCCATGATTGATTTATGAGAACATTCACTTATATTGTTATCTGATAAGAAACATGATAACTGATAAGAATCTGATTAGAAATAGTTTCCTACAGTTTGAAAATTGTGTGGAAGCATTTATTCACCCAATATTGTTGAAATTGGTGTATATCAGACTTTCATTTTTTCTGATAGCCGAGAGCCGTGCAAAAGTTAGTTGTTCAAATAGTGTGAGTTCATAGACGCACGCTAGCCACGTACTTAGGAGGCCAAATATGTAAAAATTTAAATATTTGTAATTTCAGCAATTTATGTAAAAATGACTTGTAAAACATTTCAGGTTGATTGTACGTGCTAAAAAAGGTGAATTCTGTGTTATTTTTATGTGAAAATTCCTGTGTATAAGTGAAATAATGATAGTTTTGTATAAGAAATTTAAAAGCGTTTTAATAGTGAAATAAATAGAGAAAATGTAAATTAAACTATTGTATTAGTTAACATATGTATTATTTCAAGTGGAAAACATTGTTTTAACTTTCTATGTTAAATATTTAAGAAATTTCGAGTTTGAACTTGTGAGTAAAATAGGCATATTTGGTTAAATAAATAATAGGTTTTTCGTGATATAAAAATGTAATGTATATCGTAGTGTAGATATTGTTTTGTGCTATCTATACAGGTAAATTATGTTGATGTATGACTTATGCAAATAAAGTAATTAAGTAAAACGTGAGAGAGTAATAGAACAAATTCATGTAATTGAGTTGCGCAAGCGCGCGAATGGCGCGGCTCACTTTCGCGTATAGCTCTGGGGTAGCTTAGTAAATGAGTTTTATTGCAATTCGTTCGGGGAAGTTCGGAGAAACTTCGGGAAAAGTGCAAGACCAGCAGTCAATAAGAAGAAAGAAAAAGTGTAGGGGAAGTGATAGGGAAAAGTAATTACTCTCTCACGGAACGGTTTGAAGATAATTGCTGTTTTATTCCCAAGAAATTCATCCCTCAAAATTATACAGTCCACATCGAAGAATTAAGGCGTTGGGACCGGGACGACTTCGGAAGACCCGTAATCCCCGTCTGAACCTACTCGCTGAAAAGGAAGAGGTTATCGCCCTTGTGTGTTACTCCGTTGCGGAGATCACATACGTTGTTCCCGAACCCAACGTAGGCGTTATAGGAGGCCGGATCGAGAGAAGCCTCGATTCCTCCCTTCTGTTTCAGAGCCCGAAAGTTTGTGCTCCTGGGTTCCTTTTCAAAGGTAATGGTAATTTTGTAATGGAAATTATTTTATCGGCTTACGGTACTGCGTATTTAGTTACAATCATTTTTCTGAAATATTGATTTTTATGGATGAACGGTTATCCACCTGTTTGTATTTCGGTATAGTTTAGTGATATAATATGAAACTATTATAAAAAATTCACGCACCACAACGTAAGAAATAAAACTAAAGCAGAAGACGAATTTCATATATGACATGCGGGATGGCATGAATGGGTTATTTCCCGGGCTTCATAGCCTAGATAAGATCTATTTGCCTATCGTGGCAACTTCGGTATCCCGTGAGCGGTTATTTTCATAGGTTGGATCTACAATCACGCATGAGAGAAACCACTTACTAGGCACCAGGTTGTCAAAATAGTTACTTTAAAATTTAATTCGAAATAAATAAGCATAAAAGTAAAAAATATTTAATTAACTCTAGTTTTCTGATAATTATTCGATAAAATTAAATGTGTAAAAATAAATAGTGTAAAACTTCCTAAAATAACATAAATATATTGTTTGATTACTATACTTCTTTGTTTCTTTTCAGTTCAAAACGATTATTTATTCCATATATATGTATGTATATATTTAAATGGCGATAAAAACATCGAAAAAATCGAAATATCGTACATAAGCTTCGATGTTTTTAATGAGCGATGTTGCATCCTATAGATGTGCTTACTCGGAAAAATTACGACTCGAGCTAACTCGAGTTGAAATTCACGCAACTCGAACTAAACTCGAGTTACGCAACTAGAGTTAGCAGGACGAAACGAAAAAGTGCAATTCTAGGGACTGTAGTGTTTTTTTAGATCTCTAAACGCTAAAAAAACATTTTGTTGAATCTGGCAGAAAATATGATATTAGTTGGCAGCACAGTGTAATATAAACACTAGCCTATCTAGTCTATCGTTCGGGTATTCTCCGACTAAAATGTTGCTGATACGTTAATTGTTTTATTTCCCTTTTGCATTATGCTATCATGTAGCTGTATTGCTTTTCATTAGCTTTAATATCTAGGAAGAACTGGTTTCCCACTTTCGAGTTTCGTGTTAGTCTTTTAGCTCAGTTATAATTGTTTCGTGAAAATTTCAAATGGAAGTGCCACCGAGGAAGTAGTCTAATAGCCAGAAATACAGATCAGAGTGGGAGCAAATGGCGTGGAATCCAATAGGTCAAATATGAAGGTGATGGTGATGATATAGTGAAATTTTGAGCTCGTCTCCCGATATAAAAATGCTGCTAGGATGAATGCCTTTCGGGAATTAGTGGAGTTAGCCATCAGCGTGCTTTAACATTTTTAAACGGTGAAATATAGCGGATTTTCGATGTTATGAACATTGTCAAAAACAAGCTACGTAAGCGTATGTCAGCTGAAATAGTGAACCTAAATATAATGATACGTCATCAAAAAAAAAAAAATCTTTAACAAATCTGCCACACATAAAGACTTACCTACCTGAAAATATCTTCGACAAATTACTGAAACTGTGAAAAAAAGAACAGAAGCAGGTGTAGGGCTGGAGCTATCTGGAGGTGACGATGACCATGAGGATGTAGTGGAATTGTCTAATTTAGTAGATTTTAGTATCTAATATTACTTAAATAAATGAAAATGTCTCTAAATAATCGCATTATTTTATTTCCTTTTACATTTACGGGATACAATTTAGCGGAATTTGGTGGATTTTAGAAACCAAATGTTTTTAAACCAAATTGTTGATATACTAAAAGTGGGCCAAATTAAGAGTACCCTTAACCGACGAGCATGTATGCGTAGGTATATGGATGTGGAAGAGGCGAGAGAGGTATGTCAGGATCGTGCTAAATGGAGGTCTGTAGTCTCTGCCTACCCCTCTGGGTGACAGGCGTGAGTGTTTATGTATGTATAAATGTTTTTAAAATATAGCGCAATTTTGATAAGTGTTTAGTGCATCTTTTTTTTCTTCATACGGCAACACTAGAGTAAGGGCGTAAAATCAGGGTAGTGTAATAACTGATGTCCCTAATTTGGAGCCAAGCCCACCCTTCATTCAGAGTAATGTAATAGGGGCATTATCCTCACGGGTGACAACGCATCTGCATTTTGATTCGTAATCGATGATAGATGTAGATGTCTATGGGCCACAGCATTCACATACCATTTTTAAATGATTTATTGATTATATTAAATTTTTAAATAACGCCATATTATTAGATCTTACCTAGGCGCAGCCGGGAAGGGTCACTAGTATTAAATAAAATATTAAGCCACGCACGTAGTACTCTCACACCAGCATCGATTACAGCGCAACGCACGGACACTAACAAAAAAAGTTTCGTCAATAAAATCAAGTCAACCGCGGCTACTGGGAATATTGCTGTTTTGTTCCGAGCGAAACAACAAGCAAATAATCCAATTTTAATTAATTATTTATAAAATATATATTGCGTATTGTTTCAATATTTAGATTAGTATTGAATAAGTGGTAATGAAGCAGTAAATATAAATTTAAGCATTAGATAGATAGATATAAATCGTGTGCCTAATATCAATGTAAAGATGGTGTTTTGCTATAAAATTATCACGGAATCCCCGCGGAAGTCCAGCTCCTTATCACCTAGAAAGAAATCCTCATCTGATAAACTTAATTATAGTAAGTGGATTTTGATTGTCTAAACGGGATTTAAGTAAACTAGATCATAGATAAATATTTATAATATTTTTATTTGCAAATTGTTTATGATTATATTACCTCTGCATTAACCGTGGATTAAGAGTTTTGTCAAAGACCCTGCTCTAACTATGCGTGTGTCAGTTAGATATCTAAAAAATAAAAAAATAAAGTTTCCAAGCTCGCCTACTAAGCGTGACAAATATCCCTCCTATGATGTTATCTATGGGGGATGCCTATGTTCAGCAGTGGACTTTTGATAGGCTTTTACGCTAACGGTAATTACCGTTACCGAAATACCGGGAAAAAAGCGCCTGTGAAAAAAGTATTGGCAATTAGTACTAATGCAGTTTTCTTACTTAAATTATAAGGCGGTTACTAATGGTTATATTTTTTTAATTTCGATGATATTACTTCACTTCAGTGTAATATGAAATGGTGTAAAAATAAATATACCTCTATATATTTGTAAATTAAATAATTTTAATTGCCAAAGATATAAAATTCAACAATGATGTGTTTGTTCGTACTGACTAGAGCTGAACCAGTTTACTTTATAATGAGGGCGACGACTTTTACTGTTTCGATGATATTACTTCACTTCAGTGTAATATGAAATGGTTTAAAAATAAATATACCTATATATATTTGTAAATTAATAATTTTAATTGCCGAAGATATAAAATTCAACAATGATGTGTTTGTTCATACTGACTAGAGCTGATCCAGTTTACTTTATAATGAGGGCGACGACTTTTACTGCCACCAGTAAAAAATTATATACACAAGGAACAAAAAAACATAACTAAATTGCAACTTTTCAACATCATCAGATGACACTGCGTGAGCATCTAGCGAATAGCGATATCTGGTGAGCGTAAAATTTTAGCCATCATAAGCACTACCTTCAGAATCATCATCCCATCCCATCCCATCAATCAGCTTGTAACACTAATGTAAACCTTACCATCAGGTGGAGTATGTGCTCGTTTGTCACCCTATCCTATAAAAGATGAATGAACTTCTTGCATTTCCCCCTAAGGTTTAGGTCTAAACCTATCCCAAATTTCAGTACAGTGTATTTTCGATAGTACTATCTAATGTGAACGTTGTTATAAAAAATCTTAATGTGTCCGATAGATGGCATTGTAACCATCTAATTTAAGACCTAGTTTTATAGTTTGTTCTAGAGACGAGGTAAGACAATAACAATTCTATTTTTTACGCGGATCTAAGCTAATTAATTTTTAAAATTTTTTATTTAATGGATACTCAAAAAGTAACGCCTAATTCTATTAATTAGACGTAAATTACACAGACCACCTACGGGCAGCTGTATCTAAGTTCGAGACGTCTGTTTTTTTATTTATAGAATAAGGGTGGCAAACGAGCACACAGTCCACCTGCTGGTAAGTGGATGCTGTGGCCTATAGACATCTATATCTATGCTCGATTAAGAATCAAAATGCAGATTAGTTATATAGAAGATAATATAGATCAGTAATACGTGGTAGAGCCATGCTGCAGTTATATTAGTAGTGTTGCGCGCCTAAGTTGACGTCATGTACCCGGCACTAGCGCCATCTAGTGTCGGGGACGAGAGCGAGGGGAGCTTTCCAGAAAATGACATCACTAATCTTTCAACCGACAGCGCCATCTAGTATCGAAACGAAGAACTAAGCTTCTAGAAGCCCGACACTCGAACTTTCGACGCCTTGTCGATTGGCGCGCGTATTTACTTGAATATTCTGGATGTTTCGGTGATAATGTGTTTTAAAGGCGCTGCAAGATGCGATCGGGGGAGTATTGAATTCGGCGAGACAAGCGAAGCTTCGGAGCGAAATAAAGTGAATCAGTGTGGTTAATTATTAGTGTTCTAAGTTTTAACTAAGTTGTATAGTGAATTAAAGAGTTAATTTTAGTAATTCAATGGGCAGTTTTTATTGTCACAAACCTCAAGCTCGTAACAGTAGTATAGTTGTAGCACGAATGGATCGGCTCGACCGGGCAGCAACCACTTACCATCAGGTGGACTGTGTGCTCGTTTGTCACCCTATCATATAAAAAAAAGATGCGTAGTCACCCCTGAGGTCTACGACGGAATGCCTCGTTTCCAGTTAAAAGGGTCTCCGATTCTCTACACTCACCATAACAAAACATAGCGGAATTAAGTTCTTATTTTACGCCTATATATATACCTATTCAGAGTAAGAGTGTAGTCCTTCCGTCCTTCCTCGGTCGAGCAGATCCATTCGTGCTACAACCATAATGTAGCTGTAGCAAAACTCTCCCACGTAAAACAGCACAATTGAGTTGTCTCTGGTTGAGATATTTGCCATAGTACCACGCTTTGAAAACGGGTTGGCAACCACAGTTTTTTTCTTTTTAGACGTTGTGAGGAAGACGCTGCTGCCAATATCCTGAAAAATAACATCCCAGGGCACTAAAATTGGCCTTTTCACTTTATATTAACAACTAGCTTTTTTTACCCACGTTTTCGCTCGCGTAGGACTGATTCAATTTAGGTACACCATTAATAATAATGCTCTCACATAATATCAGCGTAGAATAGCAGCTTAATACCGCTGTGTTTCGTAGGGCGAGTGTAAAGAACCGGAGACCTGTTGCCTATTTCTGTCTTCAAACAGTGGTGCGTGTACAACTGAATTCCGGTGTGAAGAATATAGAGAGTCGATAACCTGCATAATTACAGGGTGTGAGGCATTTCATCCTAGTCCTCAGACATGACGACATCTATGGCCTTCTTTGTGCGAAGTTAGGTACAGTTGCAGGGGTACACGAACTGCTGAAGCCACCATCTTACCATTAAATGGACTTTAACTTCATTTATCAGTGTAATTGAATAAAAAGGTACATTTTTATTATAGAATAAGGGTGACAAACGAGCACACAGTCCATATGATGGTAAGTGGATGCTGTGGCCCATAGACATCTACATTTATCCTCGATTAAGAATCAAAACGCAAATGCGTTGTCACCACTGAGGACTAAGATGGAATGCCTCGTTTTCAGTAAAAAAGGGTCTCCGGATCTCTACACTAACCATACGAAACACAGCAGTATTATTAAGCTGCTATTTTATGCTGGCATTCTTTGAGAGCGTGGTCCTTCCCCAGTCGAGCCGACCCATTCGTGCTACAACCATAATATAGCTGCAGCGTGGCTCTACCACGTAAAAAAAAATAAAACTAGTTTATAAAATATCGTGATATTTTGATTTTAGTTTCAAGTACAATATCAGAACTGATTGGTTCATTAGACTATGAAGGATGCAGTAACGACGTCATCGATTCGATACCAGAGCGAGACTGGCGCCTGTTGGTGGCTTTAGCACGAAAAAGGGAAGAAAATGAGGAAAGGGAAAGACTCGCGGATCAGTTCCGAAGGATGTGGTTAAAGGAAAAACAAGAAAGAGAAAAGGTTTGTAGTCTCCTTCAATTCTGCTATTTTTAATATAATATTTAATGAAAAGTAAAAACTGACTTCAAAAACTAGAAGAATAAAATAATTTCACATTCTGAATTCAATTCCATGACATTTTTCTTTATAGAATAAGGGTGACAAACCAGCACACAGTCCACGTGATGGTAAGTTAATACTATGGCCCATAGACATCATCATAGATCTACATCAGAATCAAAATGCAGATGCATTGACACCGCTGAGGACTAACATGGAATGCCTCGTCTCCGGTTCTCTACGCTGCAACTATATTATAGTTGTAGCACGATTGGCTCGGCTCTACCGGGGCAGGATCACGCTCTCACAGAGTACCAGCGTAAAATAGCAGCGTAATGCTGCTGTGTATCGTATGGTGAGTGTAGAGAACCGGAGATCCTTTTTATTGGAATCGAGGATAAATGTAGATGTCAATGGGCCACAGCATCCACTTAGCTTCAGGTGGACTGTGTGCTCGTTTGTCACCCAATATTTAAAAAAAAAGAGTAGGATTCATCCATTTATCTATTGCAGCCTATCAAAGTCCACTGCTGAGCCTACCATAGATTGCCTTGTAAGAGGATATTTGCCATAGCTGGCGTGGCCGGCCCTTTGGCAAGCGTAGTTTTTTATTTTCTATGTCGGAGTTGCCCATCCAGTTTGTTTCCTCTACCGCCGCTTATGACACCTACGGGACGATATGGAGTAGTAAATAATCTTAGACCGCCACTACACGGTGAAGTGTGGGATTAAATTTCGTTAATGCCAGCCTTTTTGAATTATATTTCAAGACGTGTAATAAGCTATTTGTAAAATTATCTAGATCGAAGCAGAAACCTCGGAGCAATTCAAACAGTACCTGCAAGACAAGCGAGCTCGGGAGCGTTCATGTTTCGAGTTCAAGCAGTTTCAAAATGCCCTGGAACAACATCTGAAGAAAAAAGAACTGATGGACTGCATCCAATATAAGGAAAGACGCTGTGCGGACTTACTGGCTTTACATGATGATAGAAAGGTAGTTTAGTAATCATCGCTTCTGGTTTCAAAACCGACATTGTTGGACTAGATTGAGATGAATGTTTAATCCCCTTTGTCCTTAGTTAAACTTATATTATTATTCACATAACTGCTCATGTGGTCCCGAGTTCAGATCCGGTCGATTCAAAATCAGTTATTGGGTTTTACTGTCAAGAAATAATCAGTAGCAGCCCCAAGTCATGAAGATAACGGTGTAACACCCGCGTGCCTCGTGAAGTCGTTGGTCCTGCACCTGATCTCTCTCCGAACGTGTCGGATTACGGTTTCATCGTACTACGAGAGTAAGGGAATAGCGAGAGAGCACCTGTGCTTGCGCATACACTCTGGCACTTTAATCTGTCCTGGAGATGGCTAGTCTCCGTTAAGACTTGCCGCCGTGATCGAAATTAGGTCTGGAGGGTATTACTATTATTGTATCATCAATCCATCTGCCTAGCGTGACGAAAACTTCCTCTCATGATATATGTGATGATATTCTTTATTATATTCAACTCCTGCAAACTTCTAGACATTTCGCTAATTTAAGAATCGTTTTCTATATAACTTAGGAAAAAAATGCGATTAATTAATTTTTTTATAGGATATGGTGAGAAACGAGTACACAGTCCACCTGATGGTAAGTGGTTGCTGTGGCCCATAGACATCTACATCTATCCTAGATTAAGAATCTAAATGCAGATGCGTTTTCAACCGTGAGGACTAAGATGGAATTCCTTTTACGCTTGTATTATGTATGGCTCTACCATGTATAAAATTTCATTTTCATTAATATAAATGTAGGTGACCGAAAAACGTGCTTTGTGGCATTCCTTGGAGGAGCCCTGTATACAGCAGTTCACTTGTGAAAGGCTGGTAAACTATGTACTCCGCCCAGAAGAAGTGAAATTTCTCACAGCTAAGCAACTCCTTCTATTCATTGAAGACATAGGGATTAGCAGTGGACTATAGCCATAGCAGCGATCACAATAGATCTTTTAGGTCCTGATTCTGGTCTCTTTACCTAAACCCTTATTTAGTTGTTCGCTTTTAATTTAAAAATGCCAATGGAGTCAAATAATTTATCGGCGTCTTTCTTTCCGACCGGATACAACCTGTGCGTCTTCAGAGCATGAACGAATAGGCTTTTAATATTTATTTCTTAATTTATTTATTTATAAGATACATGTCTACAAGCTAACAGATGATAGCATCCAACACACTTGCAACATTAGATACATTAAGTTAAAATTGTCTATTTTAAGTTGTAATTAATTTTACCAAATAAATCACATTAAATTTAAATTAAAATAAAAAAATAAGTTGAAATAATTGCAGAACAAATAAAATAATAAAAAATATAAAACGAAAATAATCAAATTAATAAAACGAAAATAGTCAAATTAATTAAACAAAAAAGACCAAAATAGTCAAACAAAATAGTATACATCATTAAAATATGTAGTAGTTATAATAATTAATGTCAAGAATAAAAATTTATAAAATGTCAATTACAATATTTCTTAATTTACTTATAAGTGTACTCAATCCATCAGCAAATAAGTCAAGATCATCGTACTGAGCAAGTATGTCGCCAATCATTCGTAATGCGCGGGTAGTAGGCGCGTGCTCGCCGCGACTGGTGCGCGCTAGCAAACGAGGCCGGCGGCGCGGTGCTAGTTGCGCTCTGACTCCTGTCGTATATTACGGGGAACTAAGATGCGTACACTCTCTAGTATTTGCGGACTATCGATCTTATGATGGAGTATAGAGAGATAATGTGTCAGCATTAGCATAACTCTCCTAAATTTTAAAGTTTGCTTGCTTGCATTACGAAAAATATGCTAAGACAGTGCGAATTACCAGCTAGCGCTTTATCACTTACCACCAGGTGGGTTTGTATTGTGTTTGTGGTCAAGCACTGGCTAAGTAAAAAAAAACTTAAAATTCACAATCTAATTCTCAACTGAACAATTATATCCAACTCTCTGCTCACATTCAAACTCTTCACTCATAATCTTTCCAACAGATGAATGAGCTAATAGCTAAAGCAATGGACGAAGAGTCTCGCGCTTACCTGGCGGCAGACCGTCGTACTAGACTAACCATGGCCGACGAGCGACGCCGTCGGATGCAACTAGTCTACGCTCAGAGAAAGGAAGAAGATGCAAGTAAACGAAGAAATGCTATACTCAGAGATGCTTCACAGGTACGAAAGTCCCATAAAATATATTTTTATTTAAAATAAAGGCTACGTTCACACTAGGATTTAATCGTGTATCGTCGGGGCAGTTTACTTACATAAACTACACAAGGATAAACCTCCAGACCCGGAACAATTATTTGTGGGACATACAAATACTTGTCTCGTGCCTCGTGCGTGATTCGAACACACGGCATTAAGCGCTGCAATTCATTGCTAAGCCACTACGACACGGAGCCGTCAAAAATTTAAGTAACATCTGACATACGTCCCTTTGCTGGGCACAGGCTTTCTTTCATTTCTGTTAGGAGTTTAAAGCAAGGGAGAGTCTACCTCGCTCCCTTTAACAAATTGGTGGAGGTACATGTCTTCAAAATATTTTTTACTGCTCCAGCAAAAAGGTTTTCTGACGATGTATTCCTTTACCATCGAGTCGTTGTTAATTCAGCACTAAAATCACAATAAACAAATTAATGTTTGTCATCCGTGGATCTATCTCGATTTTCTCGCGCTTGTGTGAAAAGATACAAAACAAGAAGCACACAGTCCATTTGAAAATTATGTTAAAAAAATCCTACAATAAAATAGATAAATATATATAGGACATTGATGTGAAATAATTACTCGTACCGATAAGTGAGGTGTAGAGCGCCCCCCCACTGGATAGAGCGACCAGGTCGGTAAGACATGCAGGAAGTCGATGAATGCAGGTGGCTCATGACCGTACTTTGAGGCGTTCCTTGGGGGAGGCCTACATTCAGTATAGGTCTAGTGAAGGTCTGTAATGATGACGCTGATGATAATGATGTGAAATAACTATTACTCTGCAATAACAAGTCAATATTTTATTGTTAAAATTTACATTTTAAAAATATACCTTAGATATTGTATTTATTTTATTAGAACTTATAATTCCAATAAAACAAATAAACACAGTCCACCTGATGGTAAGTAAATGTTGTATAATAATAACGTTGTCAGCCTTGAGGAATAAAATAGATTACTATGTTTCCACTTTAGTCCTCAGGAGGTTCGGATCTCTACACTCACCATACGAAACACAGCAGCATTAAACTGCTATATTACGCTGGTATTCTGTGAGAGCGTGGTCCTTCCCCGGTTGAGGCAACTCATTCATGCTACAACTATAATATATCTGCAGTTTGGCTCTACCACGTATACAGTTATATTTAGTTGTATTGAGTTTCTAGGTTCTGACGCTTCATTACTAATCTAGTGTATTTTCAGCGGGCCGCAATATCCAATGCTTTGAGCACGTGGGAATCAGCATTGCTGCGACAAGAGCTTGCAGCCGAGGACGCCACAAGACGTGCCCGCACGATGGCTCGCTTGGCCGTTCAAAACAGGCGTTCGTTTAGATTGTCACGTGACCGGGAAATTAGAATAAGGAAGGCGCGGCGATTGGCCGAGTTCACCGCTCGGTTAAGAGACGCAGTTAAAACTGGACAGTTGTAGAATATTACCATTACAATACGTGAAGTTTGCCGCGCTATAAAACCAAAACTAGGAGGAGGGCGGACAAATACTTAAAGTTGTATACAATAACTAATAAGTTAATAAAATTATCAAACAAGCCTTGGCAAGTATGAGGAACACTTCGAAACTTCAACTTAAGGTGATACCTCGAAAATTTGGTGGTTTTTCTATTTAACATATTTTTTTTAAGTTTTATAGATTACAAACCAAAATTATGGATATGATTTTTGATTATCTTGGATTGCATAAAAGGAAAACACGATATCACGTAATTTTCTCGATAGAAAAAAATTGCAAAGTAGGCTCTAATTATTTACATTTCTCGATGACACCACAATATTATTACGAATAATTTCATGGAATTATTTTTAAGGCATAGTAAATAATCATATCTGAGCTCTCATAAACCAGTTTTTTAATACATAACGAAATTTTGTTAAAATAAATGAAAATGTTGTTTGGCGCTTACTTAGTTTTTTTCCGAGCGCTTGCTCGGTATGGCAATCTCATATTTATCTCTACTACTATCACTATCACTGTCATTTTGACAGTCCCGTAGTCGTCCGTTAGTTTCACCGACAAAGGAATAAGCCACGCTCCCAAAACTTGGATTCATTTTCAAGGTACCTATCTTCTTAAAAAAAACATGTAATGACCATATTTTACTATCATTTTACCTTTTATTATTAGTTACTAGAAGTCCAAATCGCGCTATCAAAGTTACGAAGTACTGCGGTGCGATATATGTATATTGAATGTTTTTTTACTGTCTGGAAAAAAATAGTATGTAACAGGTGACCGGAATAGAAGCCTATGGCACTGATATTTTACAATTTTTTTGCTTTTACACTAACATAATATTATGAAATTGAACTATCTATATAACTACCACTAATTTGAAATAAACTTTCGGTAGGTAATAAAAACAAAAACAATTTTTTTTACTAAATAAATAAATCAATTAAAATCTAAGTATCGAAATTAATATATTACGCACCCAATTAGTAGCATTTATTGATAGATCAATTTCATAATATACTAATGTAAAAAAAATTGTAAAATATAAGTGCTATTCCGTTCACCTGTTACACCCTATTTTTTTCCAGACCGTAAAAAAATCACCCAGTATAGAACAGCTCCTTAGGAGCGTCGGCCGCTCTCCGGGCCGATCACCTTGCCCGGCGGGAGACCTCCCTTTTCCTTCCACGACCAAAGTATCACAGAGCCATCTAGGTAAACAAGGCTGTAGTTTCCATACTTACCTGATGACCATATTACCTCACGTGCTCTACTGGTACCTACATCCTATCAAAAATCCACTACTCACATAGGCCTCCCCTGTAGATTGCCTCATTGTGATGATATTTTCCATAGTTGCCTGCGCTGTTTTTTAGGTGTTAGGAAGATCCTGCTGCGCATCTCCTGGTTTATCCTCTGTCGCCTCTTACGATAAGGGTTAGTGGATATCCCCACCAATACACTGAAAATGTTGCTAAGTACCAATAACTTGCCTAATGGTACTAAGCTTGATGGTTGATGTTTACAATGACTACCTATAATGTACATGAGACCATACCTTTGAATAAATATACAGGGTTATATTGCAATAAGCAACCAAATTTTCAGAGAAGTTTCAGAATAAGTGATATAGGTAAATGGTGAAGAAAATTTAAAAAAAAAGTCTCAAACATTTTGTCCTTTTTATCAAATGCATTATTAATTAGTAATGCATTATTTTATCTGATTTTACTGCTCACGCACACATTTGTAAGGGTCGATGGGTAGGCAAAAACGTTTTTGCTCATAAATCACATGATAAATTTAGACGGCCATGCTTATGTTTCCTCTCATTTTTTTGTTGATAAAAATTGTTTATCCGAATTCGAATACGTAACATAATTAAATTTAGCAATCGAAAACTGAAAACATCTATGTCACGAAAATATTTGACAGTGCAACACTTGTGTTTTTTTTTCTTGTAGTAACAAAGATGATCTTGTTCAATAAACGTTTTTAATATGGAGTGTAGAAGCAAGGAGTACCAACTCCCATAGTAGAATAGTTGAAAAAGTGGCCATCTGTAAGCAGTACATAAGAGCTGAAAATCTCTCCACAACAGCGCTGGATGATCGCTACTGGGATGAAACGAACTTAGCAGTTGTCGACGGTTTAAGTGTACTGCTAAACTGCTCAGTAGCTCTAAAATCTAAAATAATTTTATTTAGTAAATATAACCTCGAAAAAGTCGTCTATCCCACTAATATTTTTCGGTGCGTTCTTTAAAGTATACCCCGCAGCTATAGTGGCGCCACCCTTATTTAACGGTTTTCTATGGACACTTTTTAATACACAGTCTGTACTCCTTACTTTTACACTTCATAGTTTTTGACTTATAAGTATTTACATAATTTTAATAAATGATAATGTGTTATAAATTATAATATCCATAATAATTTCATTTCCGTTTTCGTGACAACCATACTTACACATATTATAATATAACGTACCTTAGCATACACACTGCCGCGTTAATACCTACCTACGCGGGCGGCGGCATCGCCGGACATCAGTCATTTCACAACTTCATGGCTTTAAAATTGTGCAACTACGTTATCCAGTTTTTATATTTAATAATATTTTTTTTAATAAAATTAACGCGCCAGAAGGAACCCGCATCGCTTAGTAGGTGTACGCTGAACCGACATCTTTGAACGGGTAATATTGATATAGAAAAAAATAATTATATTGATAGGAAAATAAAAAATGTTCCTCTCTTCACTAATCTTTAGGATTTCGTTTTTTGGGTATTTTTTCAACAGCCATATTACAACGCCAACAGTAGATCGCTTGAGTCACCTTTGCCAGCAAAGTGCACCGCGTGCAGGGTGTTGGAAGAAAATACAAGGATTTACGTCACGGCATTTTTTATTTTGCAGGCTGTCATGACCTCAACTTACTCCCTGTTAAGGGAGAACCTGAACTCAATAATATCGATACCAAGCTATTTCTAATTTGTTTTGTGTTGTTAATTGTAACATACATGATTGTAAGGTGTTTGTTATCTAAAAAAAATAGTCCCGTTAGGTTTCTTGGTAGTTTTGCCCAGGACAGAGGTTTTAAAATATATCCTGACTGAATATAAAAGTGAAACAATTGTACTATTTTAATCACACAACGCGAAAAGGGCGAAACAAGTGTCGTATTATCGTCGATGGTCGTTACCTGGAATAGTGGTGTTGGGAGTAGTGGTGCCGGGAGTTGTCGTGTTGGGAGTTGTGGTACTGGTACTAGCGGTGAAGGAGTTAGTGCATGCAAATGAGGGAGGGCGGGAGGTGCTCTTCAATCCAGGTAAGACACATCATTGTATTTAGTTAGCGGAAGGTTGCAAATAATTAATATTTTTATTAAGAAATATGATTCCCTCCATGGTCCTTTGAGCCAGATTTGAAAGTACAAAAACATATTATTTATATTTACTGGAATGCGCTCCGGAAGTCGTAAATATTCATTATTGTCGATATATAAGCTGATAGAGTGAAAAACCTTGAATAAGAATTCTGGACCACTAGCTCTTTACATTGGATTATAATTTATAACTTTCATTTATTCCGCCCAGTACGCTTTGTGGTATATTTTTTCATAACAAAATTCTATATTCACATTTTATTATATTTCGTTACATAAAAATCTTAATTTTCTACCGTTTACCAGCGGTGATTTGAGTTAAGCGTTGGAGTATCTGTGAACTGGTATGAAAAATAAAAATCATTTAAGAACTTGTTATGTAATTTATATTCACACAGAAACACAAACTTATTAATATAACAAGGTTATCCATCTCCTTCTGCAAGATCTTTGGTGGCAGCTGCGAGTTTTGCCCTCGCTTGACTGTACTGTCTCAACACGGCTTCAGCTCCTTGGAGCAACGCTGATGCTGAGCTGCTGTCAGCTGGTGCAGGTAAATCCTGACCTCCTATTGTATGAGCTTGCTTTATGGTACTCCATCGGACGTCTATGTATCCAGTCCCTGTGTATGTGAAGTCTGCACTCTAGAAAAAAGATATTTTACGTGGTGATTTTTTTTTTACTAATGAAAGTTACAGTTACAGCTTAAATACATACGTCCCACTGCTTCTTCTCATTTCTGAGAGGGTTTTTTTAGGACTAGGAATTGTCCGCCGCGCTGCACCAATGCGTGTTGGCAAACTTCACACGTCTGTGAAATCTATTTTTTCTTATTTCTCAAATATGCAGGTTTCCTCACAATTTTCTCCTTTACCGCCGAGCACGTAGTAAATTCAGCACTTAAAATTGCTAATAAGAATTTCATTGGTGCCGGCGGGGATCGAATACCTACTGTGAAATTTACAATGAGCGCTAAACAGCTACCACGGCTCTTTACTAGTGGCCATGGGATTAATGAGTCATCAGTCCTTGATTTTTAAAAATCCCTGTTTAAATGAAACTAGTTTTTAAATACACCACTTTTTGAGTACTTTACAGCACCCATATCCTATAGTCACGGGAGGTACTGAGGTCAGTGAGCCAGTTTAAAATTATTTTAAATTATAAGTAGTATAAATATCCTTTGTTATAAGGAAGCTGCTGCTCCCCATTCCATGTCTCAGTTTCCATCTGTCGCCTATTACGACTACCACTTAGTTAGGTAACTAGCTCTACACCTAACCACGGGTTAGGTGTAGAGCGGCACCCCACTAAATGGTGTGACGACCCAATGAAACATGCAGATAGTCAAAGGATTCAGTTGACACAGGACCATGCGTTGCGGCTAACTACGATGATGAGAAGATACTATCAGAATAATAGAAGTTCTTCTACTTTATCCGAAAGACATATTATATATAATAACATAAACACTCACGCCTGTCACCGAGAGAGGTAGGCAGAGACTACAGACTTCCATTTAGCACGATCCTGACACACCTCTCTCGTATCCTCCACATCCATATACCTACGCA